GTCCCATATTATTTTAAGTAATGAATGGCTGAAGTAAACGGTCTGAAGTAATAACTGCTGTTTGGGTATTTTTTTCGTAATATTTATGTACTGTGAGAAAAACCTTGTAATAGAACATCAATGTGAACATTTCACAATGAAATAGTTAAATCCTCAAGGACAAAATTACCATAGTACGTCTTTCGGAGGTGTATTATATTATTATTATTATATATTTTACGCCCTTCACAGTGTATGCATTTTAACCCCATTGCCACTCACGTTTTTTTAACGAACCTGTTGAATTTTACAATTCTGGAAAATGTGTAGGTATAATATTATAACCTAATGCATTTAAATATAAGTTTAAAAAAGCCCCTAGGGCCTAGGTAAGTCACTGTAATAACGAATATTGTGTTAAATTCGAATTTAATGATAAATCATTCGTCGTTGCATACGAATATAAAATTAGACTATATTTCTATATGGTTTTTTTATAACTTCTTAATTGTAATATATGACTATTAATAATGAATTTCTCTATATTTGATAATATGTTAGGTTGTACTGTGTATATAATATAATAGATTTGCGATAAAAAAGTTTAAATATTTTTTATTATAGAATATAATACTGCGCAAAATGTCCGGTACAGTTAGTATTTTGAATTGCAAAAAAATAATTCAAATTGTAATTTTTCGTTTAAGTACCTATCCAATTTTGTCAAAATTTTAACTTCAATCGTTTAAGAAAAATAATGACTGTATTTTCACTATTTTTTAATTACCCTAAGAACAACTTATAAGAATCCTTGCCTGTTTAAAGTTTTAAAGCTTTTTGACGAAGAAGAAAAACATTTGTACCTATCAACATAAAAAGAAAAAAACTATAAAATAGTAAAAAAATTTGAAATTCATAATATAAATAACTTAAAAAGAGCCATCGCGTTTTTAAGAAATTAGAAAAGTATAAAAAAAGTGGTAGTTTAAATATTTTGTACACATTTCAAGTATATACGGTTATTGTTTTTTAAATGACTACAAAATAAAAAAATAAATTTTGTCAAAAACTAGTATTGCATATACAGGTAAAAATTCCTGGTTTTCGTAATTATTTTTTATTTTTTCCCAATTATTCTAAAAAGAACTGGGAATTTTATATTTTTTAATTGTTATAATAAGTTGTTATAATAGGTGTACTCTCAAAATTACCTACTTCTTTTCTACCAGAAACCACCCTAAAAGACGAATTTAAACTTTTTAAAGATCTTAAAGGTGACGCCAGGCACAAACAAATATAAAATAATAAAATATAAAATAAGTGATAATAAACATACACTTTCCTCTCAGAATTTAAAATTAAATTTAGATTTTCATCGATTTTATACTCAGACTATACTCAAACAATTTAAACTAATTTAATGACTTTTTTATAATAATTGTTCTGCCTATTATAATATTCCTCCAAAGCATAAGTTATAATTAACGATTAATAATAAAAAAAAAAAATAATTAGATAAATTAACTGGCGACAATAATTAATTATGTTATATACAATACAACGTTGTTTGAAAGTAGGTGTAACATGCTATAGTAATAATTTTATATTATTATACATCGGTATTATATTTGAATATTTGATAATCCTTAATATTATAAATATATAAATATATTTGATGACTCAGACTAAAAAGATATTAAAAAACAAGTTTTTGTGAAGTAAACTGCAAATATTGAAGAACAAGTTTGGTTTATATCGGAGAGAAAATTAATAATTTTTTTTTTACATGACGTTTAATTAACTGAAAAATAGTATTATATACATTATTATGCACTAAACAACCAGCGGTTGAAGAATGAGTTAAACGTCGCGGTGCTACACATAACGACTGCAAAGAGTACGCCTTTATTTATATTTATAAAAAAAAAGATTTATTAAATATAATATCCAAGACACGATGACGGAAGATTGTAGCTGACATTGAAGCTCGAATCTGTAAAACGGAACATCGTATGGGAACATTTAATAATATCTACGTTTTGATATACTACGTGCAGCCTCCTGAAAATAATACCAAAACCAAAATTTGTAGCCAATCTTCGATTATGCAAAATCATATATTATATTATAATATCTAAGACACAATAACGGAAAATTGTGCATGGTATTGAAGTTCGCATCTGTGAAACGGTAAATCGTATACACGAACCTGCCTATGACAAAAGCTATGTACACGCGAGGTAGGTAAATATTAATTTCAGCGTTTCGATAATATTTTGCATATGACTGACGATGATGTATAAAATCGGAACTTGTCTGGTCAAATCATATTTTTATAGCTATAAGAGACAATGACGGAAGATTGTAGATATCGTAACTGGAATCTGTAAATCGGAAAATCGTTTATTATTATATGAAACCTGCCGAGGAGAAAAGCCTTGACACACACTAGCGTAATATTAATTTCAGAGGTCCAATATAGTATTTCGCGTATAATGCATGAAATCCGGACTTGTCAGGTTAAATCATATTATCTATGGACTACGTATTATACCAGCTGCAGGCTCCTTAAAATAAAACCTAAACCCAAATAGGTATGTAACAAATCTTTGAGTACGTCTTTATTTATGTATAAAAAAAATCATATATTATATAATAGCTAAGACACAATGAAAGATTGTAACTTATATCGAAACTCAAATCTGTAAAACTGAAAATTGTAGAAAACTATTGGGAAAAAACCTTATGAGAAATTGAGAACTACCAAGGAGAAAATCTATGTAAGTACCTGCACATAGTACTATAATTTCAGTGATTTAATAGTATTTCGTGCATGATGGATGATGCACAAAGTATTAAAATCTGCACTTGTCCGATCAAATCATAAGTATACTATCTATAAGAGACAATGACTGAAGATTGTAGCCGATATTGCGAAGGAGCTCGAAACTGTAAAACGTAAATTCGTATGAAAACTGTCGAAGAGAAAATCCGCATGTACACGCAAATGCAATTAAACATTAATGTCAGAGTTTCAATAGTAGGTATATCGTGTAAGACTGCGGGTAAGGACTTGTCAGGTCGTATCACAATATGCATGAGTTTTGATACGTGCAACTTCCCCCCAAAAAAACCTAAGCCACAATATTTTTAGCCACTTCTCGGAGATGGCGGCTTGGTTTATCATCGTTGCATCGCGTCCTATAGTTCTGGGTCGTGTGGTCTATTGCATCGGAAAACACACCCAACTCGAGCGGTATTTCTGTTCACACGAAACCGATATACTATGTGCACCTAAGTATAATATTATGTACTACAGAGGGAGCGAGCGAGAGATTCAATACTGATACATAATATATAGATATGTATTCGGATAGATATAGAGAGACTGAGTGAGAGACCGAGAGAGAGAGAAAGAGAGAATGAGTGACCGAGAGGGAAAGGGAGAGGGAGAAATGAGATGGAACGAGAAAAATACGCACATATTCCCAACATGTACGACTTGGGCTGCCGCCGCAGCCGACATGACCGCCGACGATAGGGTGTTCGGGGTGGCGGCGGGTGGGGAGGAGAGAGAGCGTCTGGTTTATACAGGTGTCTAGACGGTAAATAAGCAAATCCTTCTCTCGATCGCTCTGCTGTTGGGTCTCGTCAACGCACACGCAGAGGCCCTCGACACACACACACACACACACACTCGCTCACACGAAAACGTGTGCGCGTGCGCGCGCGCGACTGAACGGTCGTATCGTCAACGGCCGCCGGTCACTGCGCCCGTCATTACTGTTGTTGGAGTGCTTTTTTGCCTCCACCTCGTCGCCGTCGCCATCTCACCCCTCTACCCGTTCTCCTTATCACCGCCAGTGTTTCTATAAGCATACACACACACACACACACATGCACACGTATATATTATATTCCGTATTTATTCAAATGAGAGACATTTCGCAGCATTGTCCGACGGCCAAGTCGCCAAGACGACTGCGGCTAAAGACCGCGGCCAAGACGACGACGACGACTGTTGCGACTGCGACTACGACGGCCCGCGATCTTCGTGTATTCGCAATAAACAGACCGATGAACCTCCGCCGAGATACTTAAAGAATAAGCGGCGGCGGCGGCCTCAACATCGCCGACCGCCATGGACCGAACACCGGCTATACAGCTACACCTGCACGCCGCCGCCACTACCGGATGCCGTGTGTAATATTCTTGCCGCCGCCGCCGTTGGTGCGCGCTCGCCCGCCCGAGTGCATTTCCTTATCGGCCACCGCACGCCGCCGCCGCTATAATAATATTATTATCTCCGATGAAACGCACCACCGCCGCGCGCGCACCGCGAGAAGGCGGCGGCGGTCTACCGTCGTAAGTCTGTCGGCGGGGCCGTCTGCAGCTGCCCCGCGCGCTGGCAGTGTTGTTATATTCTCCGCCGCCGCCGCCGCCGCCCCTCTTGCCCACGCTCAGTCTCCTAGTTGTTTACTATACCTACAATATTATGTAAATATACGAAGACGGGCTCGACTTGTGGGGGAAACCGTCTGCGACGACCAGACGTGTATATCTATAATCTATAGTAATTATAGACGTGATAAAACAAAATAATATAATATTTAAGGTTTGTTCGTTTTGACAAAAAGTGTACACCAAAGGGTTCATTTTGAAATAGTGTAGTCGTACATGCTGTTTCTTTTAAAAAAGTGTTGAATCAGTGTACACTTTTTCACACCGACCCAAGAGCAGATTTAGTTGGTGTAGGCGTTGATCGTTATCATTTCTTATCATCGAATAGTTCATTCTACATAAAAATTATCAGTTGATTAATCTACACCAAAAACATTCATTTTGAAAACAGATTTCTGATCACACCCCTTACACTTACCCCAGGAACTACACTTATGTCTTATTAGTGTACACTTTTTTTTCAAAACGAAAAAACCAATAGATTATGAAATTGTAACATCATATTATATAGGGGGCGATCGCGGTACTTTGAAAAGTTTAAAAACGGAACTATAACGACTTCAAACAGTACAAACCCTGCCCTTCCACAACCTGCAGCGCCCTTCGACGAGAAACTGCAATATCCGCAAGTACTGCGCGTCCACTGCAGTCTCCACGACTCGATTCTTGGAATATACGAGCGGCGATTTCCTTACATTTTGGAAACTTGATTTAAAATGGAGACGAGCAACTAACTTAGTATGTCCTAACGCATCTCCTTCGAGCCTTTCTAAATCTAAATCTGTTACAAAATATGCAAAATGTGAGTTAAAGTCACTCTTCATAATGCGTAAAAAGTGACTCGCACCACTCGTTATTTGCCAAATATTGGATTAAAAATATAGTCCATTGTATAATAATAATAATTTCAGATAACAATATTATGCTTATCTACAAACTCGATTACTCGAATGTTATTTACGGATTTATTTATAAATAATGGGACAGAACAAAAACGTTACCGTTTGAATTTTGTCGGGAAAACGGTACATACTATACGATGAAAACAAGAACAACCCCGTTTCAAACGGGACGAATGGTCATTGGTCACCCTACCATAAATTTCCCACCCAGACGTATAATTGCTGATAACTGTCCGTAAAAAACCTCAGCGGGTTCAACGATCATATAGGCGTGCGCCGACTTATTTCGCAAGGTATGCAGATTGCAGGTATTCTTAAATATTCCTAAAACAAAGTTGAATTCCCCAATAACTCTTAATACAATAACTCTCAATATAAATAACTCGTCTCCTACTGAATTTAAATTTGAAAATTTAGTCGAATATAGAATTAATATTTTAATCACTGTATTGTTCTACTTATGGTTTTCGCAAATATTATATTGCTTAAAGATTAAAATCATTGATGTCCAAACTTTTTTTTGCTAAAACAAGAATCGTACAATTTTCGTTTTTGGCGGAAAAGGGGTGTGGCAGAAACGACATAATATTGAGTAAGTATAATTTTGGCGGAAACGGGTAACACCTGAGTCAACAATCTCGGTGGACGACAAAAAACTGCAGTTGCTGCACTGCTGATTTCTGTTTCGTTTTTCTCAGAGTTAAATAACTAGTAATCGAATACTAGTATCTAATTATATTTATAGATTTGTTGGCTTTTATAATAACATTTTAATTATCATGGAATTTCCAAATTTGTCGTGTATTTTTATACTTCGGCAGTCCATGAACTATGTCCGCCATGTATATCGTTTTTGCTCCTTTCGATATTAATATTTCTTATGAATGTGTGCTGACTTTTGGTCACGTTGTAGGTTGGTCAAATATGATATTTTTGCCCTTTTGGGTCGTCGGTTTATAATTATTTATACGGATTATACCGTCGTCGGGGCTCGATTCGAGTTCGAAATATTTTATGATGGTCTCCGTCGTAAAATAGCCTTCTGAAGGACTATAATATCATAAACAATAATTACACATTAAGCTTAATCCTCCATTATATTTTATACTCTATGTCTGTAACATAGTACAATCATTCCGTAGTTTAGACAGAATTCTTAGAGTATTAGTCATTTTACATACAAGCATACAACAATACCCGATATCATATTATCGGCTCGTATCATATAATAATATTATAATAGAGTTTATTTTCTGTTATTATGTATTAATAATTATAAATGTACAAGTAAAATATAGAGAAAGTAAATATTATCGAAGTTGTACCTAATACAAACGATAAAACACTGTTAACCAAATTTAAATTAATAAAAATTATTACAAGTATTGAAATATATCATTTTCAAAATTGTATTATTTATTTTAAAACTGTCATGGAAACTTGATACAAATATAGTTGGTGGTAAGTTAATAGTTATTCGGAAAAACCATAATTTTCTATATTCCTTTTTATATGTCCCTCCTGTAGTCCTGTTCACAAGGGTCACCGCACAGCTTTGGAAAATAGATACTTTTGCAATTGAAAAACGGTCTTATTTTTGATATCATATCTTGCGTACCACAAATTAAAAGTATTCATATTTTAAATACTCTATGATTTGTTTTAAACTTACTCGATTAAATGTAATAGGTATTGTATTGCATTAATCACTCAGAGATACGCTTGACCGACTGTATGTTTGTCTGGGAAAGGCTTCGAAACGAATGACCCGACTTTGATGGAGTTTTCAAAGTTATTATATTATCAGGAAAATAAAATAGTTATTATGAGTTGGTATTATAACTTGACACCTGTCTTTTATATTGTATCAAAACAACCCAAATAACCGTGTTTGTAAATTGTGAAGTTTACCTACATTTAACGTTGTTTAAGAATAAAGGGTAAATTTATCAATAATTTATTACCGGCAACACTGTAATAAACAGGATCAGCTAGTAAATATTAATAACTATTCATAATCTACCTATATTTTAATCAAACAATTTCCAAAAATTAAATAATGTATTGTAGTACTCACTGTTGAGTGATGCCTACAATAGTAAATTTCTCCTAGCAATTTTAATATTATTTAATTACAGTTAAAGGTAAAATTATATTTTTTTTATAATATGTTTGATTATTATATCGAAGAAATATCAAAAAACATCCAGACACTTGGGATATTATCTTACAGGTTTTTCATTTATTCAATCTGGAATAATTAGGATATTCAAAACTCGTATTTACACACTTAATTTATTTTTGGCAATCAATATTCAATTTAGAGTACCGGTATTTTCCAGTATTGGAATTTTAACAGAATGTTGCATACTAATATTATACTTGTACTATGTACATTATACCCAAGTTTTTGTATACCCCCTCTCGGCTTCTCGTATAAATATTAAATATAAATAAATAAATAATAAGCTATTATTTTATGTGTAAACTAGTATTTTGACTGAGCTTTGAATTTCTATTATAAATTATGTATATTTTACTAACATTTTGTTTGTATTAGGTACCTCCAAGGCTCCAACTGCAACAAGTGAGTTTAAATTGTATATCTTACAATTACTGGCTAAATTTTAGGTGATAATCGTTTTAAGTTACAGCGGTTGGGATATAAAATAAATATTGATTTTAGTATCTACTCTAATATTTATATCCCTTATTACCTAATACTAACGCACAAAAATAATATCTTTAATATATTATGCTTGGCGATTGGTTTTAAATATAATATTAATAATAAAACTATATAGGTACTGGGTAGGTGGTATAAACTATAAACTAACATAAACGTCATATTTTTAAAAATTAAATAGTTATTGTTTTACAGTAGTAAAATCAATTAATTTAAAATTACTCATTCAGGTGGTTATTATTTTTTTCTACTGCGTCTATTGAAACCTATAACTAACTGCGGACCAACTTTTGTGTAAGACGTTATGGGGAGATACTCATAAATTGTCAAATAGACTTAACATGACGAAAAACCTAAGACATGCTAAAGTCTTTAATGTTTATATTATTAAATAGGTACCTATAGGCGCTAGGTACCTAAGTATACCTATTATATATGTATATTATTAGGTACATATCTCTGATACGTTTTACTATATTATATTACTATTCAATAATAAATATAGATATTCCATAATATGCAAATAGATAATAGTATAAAACCAGGGTTATGACACGTATGACAATATAATGTATTTACCATACCTAAGTCGGGTGTTTAATAATAAAACATTAATGACATAAAATAATGTTTTTGTAGAATATGAATAGCAAATAAACTAAAAACATAAATTTAATTAAATTCATTATTTTATATTAAAAAATGATTCATTCATTATACCTACAACCTACCTAATAGTTTATTATTTAAAAGTGTATCTAGTGATTGAATTCGGGTTTTTTTGAATACCGGTTATCAACAAATTGTTAATCTCAATCAATTGTGTGAACTTGGTTTTTTCATATCGGATTAATTAGAATTTCACAAGTTCTGAAAACAATTTTAATTATTATAACCTTTCCTTAATATTCTATTTAATACGTTAATATATTTTTTAGTTCTATACAAAACTATTATTTTTCACGCCGTTTTAGGTATATTTTAGATTATTAATACTTTTGTAATCACAAAAACCAAAAGGGGTAAGTACTAGCTTTCATAAATACAGAATTTGTGGACTTGCTGCAGGTTGTACTGATCGAAACTTAATTTCCCCTAGGTAAATTAACAATGTAACAGTAGACCACTAGACCATAATGTATGTTATGTATATGTACAGTAACCTCTCGATAATTCGAAGAATTTTAATGGAATATTATTTGTAATATTAATGATACGTGTCAAAATAAATCCAAAATAAATATGTACCTATACCTATGCATGTATTACAATTTTTCGAGGGTCTACTTTATTATATCATTATATTTTTCCCAAAATTGTTAGTGTATAATATCTTTTTCTTTAAATATACTATTATTGGATGTAAATATAAATAAGTAAGTACCTAAGTAGGTACTTAACCTCCTTAAGTATACATATTATGTTTACATAACGAACTGTAAAAGTATTATCGACGATTTCGTCGAACGGTTAATCTTGTATTTTAAATATTATTATATTATTATATAACAGCAGGACGTATACCTACAACACCGCATAATCGCGTTTTAAATGAAAATGATTAAATCCCGTTCAATATTATACACCGGCGTGAGCGATTTAACACTATATAGTCAAGTAGGTACCTACCCAGAGTGTGGGCTGCCATATTATATTGTAAAATAAAAAAAAGTATTAAAGTTAATAAGTTAATAAAGTAAAAGTATTTTTTTGTGAAATTAATATAGGATTTTGCATCTATTTAGGCGCCTAATATATTGATTATTAAAGTTTAATGACAAATGCGCAGTCGTTCTAACTATATATAGTATTATATACAACTGTAAATATCGGGTTTTCGGGGCTCATTCGTATTATTCGTATTATTATTATAAGACGATAAAATGGGATACAAATCGCCGCAATCGTGAAGTACTACTAGTAGTAGTAGCGGTGAGCGTTAGTAAATCGATGGTTTCCACGTTCGATAGTGTCAGCAGTGCATTTCACATGGCGGGAACGGTCCCATGCACATTCTCTGTACCTGCTTGTGCCGAGACGGTTAACAGTCCGAAATTGACGGTGCCGAATGGCACGGAAGTCCGCGTAGTTTACATTTTGTGTGTTCCATGGTTGGAATAGTTTTTAACTCGAAATATATTTTTAACACGATATAATATTAAATATTAAAAATCGACTATAGTAACGGGAACGCGATTATTATAACACATTATTGAACACATTGTCGGATTCATGA